ACGCACCATCAAGCCCAGCTAATTTTATGTAATTTTAGTAGAGACGGGGTTTCACCATGTTGGCCAGGCTGGTCTCACACTCCTGATCTCAGGTGATCTGCCTGCTTCAGCCTCCCAAAGTGCTGGGATTACAGGCGTGAACCACCGCGCCCAACCCTAAATTTTTATTTTATTGTTCCTACTTGAAATTAGTTTCTCTATTGATAACATCTTTCAAAACAAGGATATATTTCTTTTTTAAAGTAGAAAAGATACAATAAAAGCTTTAAAAAACAAAACAATGAGAAAGTGCAGAACCCACCCTATTGGGTCTTTGTGAGGATTAAATGAGATGATGGCACGCCCAGGGCGCAGGGCCTGCAAGTGAGGAGCGTCAGGGCAGGAAGCCTCCAAAGCCTCGTTGCTGCTGTGGCTGTGTGGTTGTGCTCGTTGCTGTTGGACATCGAGGGGTTTAGTAGTATTGTTGTGGTGGGACTTTGACCGGTAGTTTTACTTCTCCATGCCGTGGCTAAGTCATCAGTAAAATCAGAACACGCTCTTCCCAGCCTGAAAGCAGGATGATGGATTGGAAGACCTCATAATACCATTTCTAATGTCCGAAATCTCTGTTTTTGTGGCTATACTGGGTTTGGTGACCTTTGATCTTAATGCAATGGAAGGGCAGGGGGATGATATGAAGTATCCCATCTATTTCTGCGTAATTCAGTACCTACATTCACTCAGGCATTCGAGAAACATGTATGCAGCTTCTGCCTTATTCCCATTGTATGGATGAGGAAACTGAGGCTAATCATCCCTGTTATATTACGCAGTCTGAATCCCTCGCTGTGCAGGCAGTGGGCTCTCTGCTTGCATTGACTTTGATATTAAGAGCTCAAGGAGTTGCATGGGAAATCGGGATTTTGGTAGCTTGAAACAAATGGCTCCCTGGAATGGGTCGTGTCTTCCTGGGTCATTGTCAGCAAATCAATATCCGACTGTGCCACCCAGGGTGGTGCTCACCTCATCAACCCTTGCCACCTAAGAAGTTACAGAGAAGACCAATAATCTGACAAAATATCAATAAAAGTGTCTCAAGTAAACCAGAGGGGAGGAGATATGCAGGCAGCTCTTGGGGAGTCCATAAATCTGGGCTGATAAATTACCTGGGCAGGTGCCTCTGCCACCAGCATCCTGGCTCAGGACAGGAGCAGCATAATTACCTCTCTGGCGGTAGTTATCTGGAGTGAGCCAATCCATTTTTCTTTTTCATTACCATTGAATTTCAGGAAAGTGTCCTCTGCAGGCCCCTTTTATCTAAATGTTGGATTTATTTGATGACTCTACTAGGTCTGATGACAAGGGCCAAAGCATGCCCTGCAGTAAGGAGGACTCGGTCCCTGAGCCTGCCACGCGAAGGGTGCTCTCAGACGGCATGATGGGTGGGTTGCTAGACAGCCAGCCATTCATAACCGTCATCTCCATCAGTGGTGCCATTAATTTTCCTTCCTTTCCTGTTTTCCTGCTCAGTGGACTGGCTGGGCCCAACTCAAAGCAGTGGGAAGAGGGTGAGAATAATTCAGGATTTTAGGGAGGATTTCTCTGCTGAGACAGGTAGGAAAAGGGGCAGCTGGCCAGCAGGCCTCTTTCCCTGCATCCAGCTCTAACCTCCTCCTCCTCTCTGCATGTTCTGTTGCAGTAAGAGCCCCAACAGGATTCCAGGATGTCCTTTTCTAAGCAAATTGCCCCAGCTCCCCTGACACTCTAGGGTCCAAGTTGCATCCCAAAGTTAGGTATCTTTTCTTCCAGGCCCCTTGCCTAGGCTTTTCTGAGCAATGTCAGCTTCCCTGAAAAGCAGCTAAGTGTCTGGGTCTGGCTACTATGGAGACTCACATAAGACTCAACATAATAATGGCTTATACCAGACAAAATTACTCTCTCACATAACAGTTCTAACACTGGCTATTGAGGCCTCATGTGATGACTCTGCAGTGTTTGGACCCATATTTCTTCCATCTTTTATTTATTGTTGTTAATTTGTAGGCCTCATTAATTTTATAAAATATAGATCAATTCCATGTCCTCATTCCATCCAGGAGGAAGGAAGAACAAGAAGACATGAAAAGTAGAAGCCTTCCCTTTAAGGACAACCTGTATGGTGCACACAATTACTCGCCTGCCATTGGTAGGAAATGGTCACATGGATGCACCTTGCTGCAGGGCACACTGGGAAGTGTAGTTTTTATTTTATGCAGTTTAAATTTCAGGATCTGTAATGAAAGGAACAAGTGGAGAATATATGGGGGTGGGGTGGGTAGGAAAGGGCTGGCTGGCCACAGTAAGTGGAACATGTAACAAGTGTTTTGGAGATTTGAGGTGAAGCTGGCAGTGGAGTGGGAAAAGAGTTACGTCTATTCGGTCTTTTTTTTTTTTTTTTTTTTTTTTTCGCCTTCCTGACTTCCTGGAGACTCCATTCTTTTCCTTTGACCTTTCTCAACCTTGACACAGGTATGTGGCTTTTTTCTTTTTTCTTCTTCTTTTTGTTTTATTTTTATTTTGAGATGGAGTTTTTTTGCTCTTATTGCCCAGGCTAGAGTGCAATGGTGTGATCTTGGCTCACCACAACCTCTGTCTCCCAAGTTTAAGCAATTCTCCTGCCTCAGCCTCCGAGTAGCTGCGATTACAGGCATATGCCACCACGCCCAACTAATTTTAGTATTTTTAGTAAAGTTGGGGTTTCTCCATGTTGGTCAGGCTGGTCTCGAACTCCCAACCTCAGGTGATCCACCCACCTTGGCCTCCCAAAGTGCTGGGATTACAGGCGTGAGCCACGGCTGCTTTTTTTCTTATCTTAATTTAGATTTTCCAAAGTGCCTCCTAGGCCATCTAAAGCTCTGGGATTCACCAGACTAAGTGAGACCACATGGAAGTTTAAAGAAACTGTTGTTGGGATCCACTCTGTGCCGGACACTATGCTGGGTGTTGGGAATACAGCAGAGAGTAAGACACAGATACACTTTTCCCCCTCCTGGAATGGGGCCTATAGCATGAAAAAATTACACAAATACACATCAAATGATAACTATGACTTCTGCTTCTGGCTAAGATGGAATAACAGGGACTGGATTTACCATTCTGCTGGAAACACTAAAAAACTGGAAAAAATATATAGAACAATGATTTTAAACATTAGGCACGAAGCAAAGGGGGCACAATGATCCCTGAAAGGCAGGAAAGATAAAGGCAAGCCCTGTGAGTATTTCAGCTTTGTAGATCTGAAAACGTTTTTATTTCTCCTTTGTTTCTGAAAGGCATTCTTGTAGCGTTTAGAATTTTAGAGCATTTTAAAATGTTTATCCACCATGTTCACACTTGAATGATTTCTGTGGAGAAATCTGCTATCATGCATATATTTGTTCTTCTGTGCATAATGTGTCTTTTTTCCCTTTGGCTGCTTTTTTTTTTTTTTTAGTCACTGCCTTGGAGCCCTTTGATTACGATGCAATGTATTAGGGTTCTCTAGAGGGACAGAACAAATAGGATAGATGTATATATGAAGGGGAGTTTACTAAGGAGTATTGACTCACATGATCACAAGGTGAGGTCCCACAATAGGCTGTCTGCAAGCTGAGGAGCAAGGAAGCCAGTCCGAGTCCCAAAACCTCAAAAGTAAAGAAGCCGAGAGTGCAGCCTTTAGTCTGTGGCCGAAGGTCCAAGAGTCCCAAAACTGAAGAATTTGGAGACTGACGTTTGAGGGCAGGAAGCATCCAGCATAGGAGAAAGGTGGAGGCCAGGAGACTCAGCCAGTATAGTCTTTTCACATTTTCCTGCCTGCTCTTATTCTGGCTACGCTGGCAGCTGGTTAGATTTTGCCCACCCAGATTGAAGGTGGGTCTACCTTTTCCAATCCACTGACTCAAATGTTAATTTCCTTTGGCAACACCCTCACAGACACACCCAGGAACAATACTTTGCATCCTTCAATCCAATCAAGTTGACACTCAATATTAACCATATTAACCATTACATGTGACTTGGTGTTTTTGCCTTTCTTGGTTTTTTTTTTTTTTCCTGTTTTGAAAACATTAATTACCAGCAGATCCACACCATAAGAAATGTTAAACAAAATCTTTCAGGCAGAAGAAAAATGATACCAGGTAAAAATATGGATCCCACAAGGGAATAAAGTGCACTGGAAATCGTAATTACACAGGTTAATATAACATTTTCTCTTATTATTTAAATCTCTTGAAAAGGTCATTGATTATTTGAAGACTAATAACAACAATGTAGTGTTGGCTTTACAACATATGTCGAAGTAAAATGAATGACATCAATATCATAAAGGCATAGAGAAAAGAAATGGAAGTATACTAGTCCAGGGTTCTCACATGTGAAATGGTATAATACTTCAAGATACACAGTGATAAGTGAAGCGCGCCTAATATAAACCCTAAAGGAACCACTAAAATACCAAAACAAAGAATTATAGGTAATAATATAATAAAGGAGATAAAATGGAATCAGAAAAATACTCAATTATTTAAAAAGAAGGCAGAAATAAAGAAAAAGTGAACAAAGAACAGATGTGACAAACAGAAAACAAAGACTAGGTTATGTGTAAAAACTAAGTGTATTAATAATCACATTAAGTGCAAATGGTATAAACACCATCAATTAAGTGTGGAAATTATCAGATTAAAGAGCAAGACTCAACTATATGGTATCACAAGAAATACGCTTTAAATATTAAGGTACAAACAGATTAAAAGTAAAAGGATAGGCCGGGCACAGTGGCTCACACCTGGAATCCTGGCACTTTGGGAGGCCAAGGTGGGAGGAGGGTTTGAGGCCAAGAGTTCAAGACCAGCCAGGGCAACATAGTGAGACCCCATCTCTACAAAATATACAAAAATTAGCCAGGCATGGTGGCGTACCTGTAGTCCCAGTTTCTTTAAAGGCAGAGGTAGGAGGATCACTTGAGCCTGGGAGGTCAAGGCTGCAGTGAGCTGTGATTGCACCACTGCACTTCAGCCTGGGTGACAGAACAAGACCCACTCTCTAAAAGAAAAAAACAAAATAAAATAAAAGGATAGAAAACTATATTTCATTCTAGCAATAATCAATAAAAAGCAAGAGTGGCTATATTAATATCAGAATAGATTTCAGGGCAAAGAATGATATTACCAGGAATAAAGTGAGTCATTCGATAATGATAAAGATTTCAATTCATCAAGAGAATATGAGTCCTACACTCAGATACATGAAGAAGCAGAGCTTAAAAACAATGAAACAAAAATAGATAGAACTGCAAAGAGAAATCGACAAATCTATACAGTGAAAAACTTTCATATCCCTCTTGTCGACGAAAAGAGTTGAAGTCTGTAAAATATTAGAGAAGATTTATTCTGAGCCAAATATGAGTGACCATGGCCCATGACTCAGCCCTCAGGATGTCCTGAGAACAAGTGTCCAAGGTGGTCGGGGTACAGCTTGGTTTTATATATATTTAGGGAGGCCTGAGACATCAATCAAATACATTTAAGAAAAACAATGGTTTGGTTCAGAAATGCAGGACAACCCAAAGTGGGGAATAGGGGGCTTCCAGGCTGTAGGCGAATTTAAACATTTTCTGGTTGACAATTGGTTGAGTTTGTCTAAAGACCTGGGATAGACAGCCTAGGCATGGTGGCTCATGCCTATAATCCCAGCACTTTGGGAGGCCCAGGTGGGTGGATCACGATGTCAGGAGATCAAGACCATCCTGGCCAACATGGTGAAACCCAATCTACTAAAAATACAAAAATTAGCTGGGCATGGTATTGTGTGCCTGTAGTCCCAGCCTCTTAGGAGGCTGACGCAGGAGAATCATTTGAACCTGGAAGGCAGAGGTTGCAGTGAGCCGAGATTGCACCACTACACTCCAGCCTGGGTGACAGAGTGAGACTCTGTCTCAAAAAAAAAAAAAACAAACCAAAAAAAAAAAAACCACAAAACAAAACCTGGGATAGACAGAAAGGGAATGTTCAGGTTAAGATAAAAGATATGTAGAACAAAGTTCCTTTGAAGTCTTATAGTGGTTGCCCTTAGAGACAATAGATGACAAATGTGTCCTATTCAGATTTTAGTTAATCTCTTTAGGATTGGGAGGATCTGAGAGAAAAAGAGCTAGCTATGTTAATAGAGATTCTTACAGATGCAAATTTTCCCCCACAAAGAACAACTTTGCAGGGCCATTTTAAAATATGACAAATAAATATGTTTGGGGGTGAGATATTTTGATTTTTGATTTTCTTCTTTGTCTCGTAATGTTATGCCAGAGTGAGGTTGGAAAGTAAATCATGATATATAGTGTTAAATAAAATCCATCTGATGAGAATTTATGATTTGTTGGGTATGACTCCCCAGATCCCTTAGATAGGAATTTGGGCAAGATAAAAATACCAGTTTAGTCCTCACTCTCGTAATAACTGGTAGAACTGTCACATGCATCCGTGTGAAGGGACCACCAACAGGCTTTGTGTGAGCAACAGGCTGTTTACTTCACCCAGGTGCAGGTGGGCTGAGTCCAAAAAAGGAGAGCAAAGGGTGGTGGGATGATCATTAGTTCTGATAGGTTTTGGATAGGCATACAAAGTACCTTCTTAAGGGCAGGGAGAATATTACAAAGTACCTTCTCAGGGGCAGGGGAGACTATATCGTATCACTTAGGGTGGGGCAGAAACAAATCACAATGGTGGAATGTCATCAGTTAAGGCTATTTTCACTTCCTTTGTGGATCTTCAGTTGCTTCAGGCCATCTGGATGTATATGTGCAGGTCACAGGGGATATGATGGCTTAGCTTGGGCTTAGAGGCCTGACATTCCTGTCTTCTTATATTTATAAGAAAAACAAAACAAAATAGTGGTGAAGTGTTGGGGGAGCAAAAATTTTTGGGGGTGGTGTGGAGAGATAATGGGTGGTGTTTCTCAGGGCTGCTTCGAGCAGGATTGGGGTGGCGTGGGAACCTACAGTGGGAGAGATTAAACTGAAGAAAGATTTGGGGATAAGAGGTGATATGGTGGGGTTAGAAGGAGCATTTGTCACATAGAATGATTGGTGATGGCCTGGATGCAGTTTTGTATGAATTGAGAAACTAAACAGAAGACACAAGGTCCAAATAAAAGAAGGAGAAAAATTTGTATTAAAGGACTAAGAATTGGGAATACTCAGGACATCCAATTAGAGAATGTCCAAGGGGGTTCAGCGTAATTATTTGCTTGGCTGGCGAGCTTTTAGGCTCTATCCTTGAGTTTTTTGATGTTGTCATATACTAGGCCAGATTGATTTAGATAAAAGCAACACTCTTCATTAAAAAATATACAGATTTCCCTTTTGTCAGCAGTGAGTAAGTCAGGGCCTGGGCAATTTTGGAGGAAAGAGAAATGCAAAGTCAGCAATTGTTTGTTAAAGAAGGATTAGAAATGGCTAGGAGAGAGTGAGTGAGATTGATAGTGTGGTGGAGATAGCTGGGGAGAGGTAGAGGGTGGCATAAAAATGGGAATGAGAATAAGAGTGAGTATAACAGTAAAGAATATGACTTCATCAGGGTGAAAGTATTGGAGTGTGTCCTGCCAGCAAAGATCATCTATCCACTCCATGAGGGAGTCAAGAGTGGAGGACTGGGGATAGATTTTCACAATGGAAAGGAAATGAGAGGTTTTAAGAGGCAGGCTAACAGCTTGTAACCTACATGGAAGAGGATATTAAATGATGACAGAATAGAATGGGCCTGTGAGACTGGAAGGAATTTTTTTTTTTTTTTTTTTTGGTCTAAGAACCATCTGCCTTGAGTGGAAAGGGATTGATAGGTGGAAACTTCAATAGGAGAGTAAGTAAGAGTGACCAACAAGAAGAAAAACTGGCCATGAGGGACAGCAGTTAGAATGCTAGCTGCTTTTTTAGCTACCTTATCATCATAAGCATTGCCTTGAGCGATGGAATCTGATGCTTCTTGATGGCCCTTGCAGTGAACGACTCCAGTTTTCTTTGGAAGTAAAGTGGCTTTAAGAAGAGTTTTTATTAAGGAGGATTAATGATGGAGGACTCTTGTGTAGTGAGGAAATTTCTTTCTGCCAATATAACAGCATGGTGGTGCAGGATATGGAAGGCATATATTGACTCATATCTTGAGTCAGTATAAATATTGATGCATGGTCCCTTTGCGAGAATGAGGGCCCAAGTTAAGGCAATGAGTTTGGCTTGCTGAGAGGTAGTGGAGGGGGGCAGAGCAGTAGCCTCCATGATAGATGTGGAAGATACTATAGCATAGTCTGCCTTTGCTGGTAAGTGGCGATTAGGCCTGGTGGAACTGCCATCAATAAACCAAGTGTGATCAGGGTGAGGAACAGGAAAGAAGGAAATATGGGGAAATGGAATGAATGTCAGGTGGATCAGAGAGATACAGTCATGGGGGTCAGGTGTGATATCTGGAATACTGTGGGAGGCCGGATTGAAGTCCAGGCCAGGAAAAATGGTAATTGTGGGAGACTCAACAAAGAGTGAATATAGCTGAAGGAGCTGGGGGGCAGAAAGTCTATGTGTCAAGTGTGAGGAAAATAGATTTTGAAAGTTATGAGAACTGTAGAGAGTAAGTGTAGCATAGCTTGTGATTTTGAGGGCCTCTGAAAGTGTTAAAGCAGTGGCAGCCACTGCACGCGGATATGAGGGCTAGGTCAAGTTGTTTGGACAGAAATGCTACAGGGCACGGTCACGGCTCTTGTGTAAGAATTCCGACTGCACAGTCCTGTACTTTGGCTGTGTGTAATGAAAAGGGTTGGGATGAGTTAGCGAGAGCTAGTGTGGGAGCAGCTTTTAGGGCTGTTTTTTAAGGAATGGAAAGGGGAATGGGGAAAGGATTTAGGATTTATGGGGTCAGCTAGGTTTATCCAGAACAGAATAATGGGTTGTGGAGGAAGGTATTGAGGATAGGAGAGTATATGGGTTTGACACCACAGGGTGGATAGGCAAGACAATTTGGTTGATAAGGTACAGATCCTGGACTAACCTGTAAGACTTGTCTGGTGTTTGGACAGGTATAATTGGGGGAATTGTAAGAAGAGTTTATAGTCTTTAAAATGCCATGCTGTAACAGGAGAGTGATAACAGGCTTTAATCCTTTTAAAGCATGCTGTGGGATGGGATACTGGCATTCAGCAGGGTAAGGGTGATTAGGTTTTAATGGGATAGTAAGGGGTGCAAGATCAGTCACCAAGGAGGGAGTAGAGGTGTCCTATAATTGTGAATTATACTTGTCCAATACCCACACAGTTATGGAGGCAAGGGAAACACGCCCTTTAAAAGAAGGTAATGGGGAGCGGGTAGCCTCCGTATTTATTAAGAAGGGGACTGACTTACCCTCCACTATAAAAGTTACCCAAAGCATCTGTGATGGTCCAGGAGGCTCCCAAGGCGATCGGGCTGTGTCAGTCTTCAGCCACTAAGCCGAGAAGATCTGGGAAGAAGTCAGTCAGAGAGCCTCGGGCCAGAGTTCCAGGGGCTCTGGGAGTGGCTGCCAGGTGAGTTGGACAGTCTGATTTCCAGTGGGGTCCCGCACAGATGGGACATAGCTTAGGAGGAAACCTGGGCTGTGGGCATTCCTTGGCCCAGTGGCCAGATTTCTGGCACTTGAAGCAAGAACCTGGAGGAGGAGGTCCTGGAGGAACACCTGGCCACTGCGGTTTAGGTGTTCTGAAGTTCTAGTGTGCTGGAGATGTGGTTGGGGTTTCTCTCACAGCACAGGCAAGTAATTGCTACACTTCTCTATTATTGTACACCTTGAAGGCGAGGTTAATTAAGTTCTGTTGTGGGGTTTGAGGGCCAGAATCTAATTTTTGGAGTTTTTTCTAATGTCAGGAGCAGATTGGGTAATAAAATGCATATCGAGAATAAGATGGCCTTCTGGCCCCTCTGGGTCTGGGGTGGTAAAGCATGTAAGGGTTATTGCCAAATGGACCATGGACTGGGCTGGGTTTTTATATTTAATGAAAAAGAGCCTAAATGCTCACTGATTTGGGAAAAGTCTGATAGAGAAAAAGGAGCATTAACCTTGACTATGCCTTTAGCTCTAGCCACTTCTTTAAGAGGAAATTGTTGGGCAGGTGGGGGAGGGTTAGTCACGGAACAAAACTGTAAGCTGGACCGGGTGTGAGGAGGGGAGGTGATAGAAGGATTATACGGTGCGGGAGCAGAGGCTGAGGAAAAATTGGGACCTGACTTGGCCTGGCGAGGAGCAGCCTGGGGAGAAGTGGAGAGGTCAGATGAGTCTGTAGAAAAGAAGGATTCAAAGGACTCAGAACTTGGGGTGGAGACTGAAGGAACAGACAGGAGAGAAAGAAGAAAGATTTGGGATGAGTTGCATTGGGAGCAGAGACTAGGGAGCGACTGATGTGTAAAAGAATGCCTGGACGTCAGGCACCTCAGACCATTTGCTCATTTTTCAAAAAAAATCATCCAGGTCTTACAAAATGGAGGAATCAAAAATGCCATTTTCTGGCTACTTGGAACTATTGTTGAGTTTGTATTGGGGCCAAGCGGTATTGCAGAAGAAAATAAGACACTTAGGTTTTAGGTCAGGTGTGAGTTGAAGAGGTTTTAAGTTTTTGGTAACACAGGCTAAGGGAGAAGAAGGAGGAATGGAGGGTGGAAGGTTGCCCATAGTGAAGGAAGCAAGCCCCGAGAAAAGAGAGGGTAGAGACACGGAGAAGGGAGGGGGTGGTGAGCAGCCCTGGGCTGCAATGTGGGTGAGCAGCCAAAGCAGGCATCCCTGCAATTGACCTGCCACCAAGGAAATGTGGGTGAATGACCAAAGCAGGCGTCCCCACGATGATCAGACACCAATGAAATGTGGGTGAATAATCAGGCAGGCATCCCTGCAGTGATTAAACACCAAGGGAAGACCGTCTTCCCCAAGTCCGTGACCGGCACTGGAGTTTTGGGTCCGTGGATAAAATGTGTCTCCTTTGTCTCTACTAGAGAGGAAAAGAACTGGAATTGGAAGGACAGGGAGATTGAAGGGTAGCAAAAGAGACTGGAGAAGAGAGTGAAAAGACCGCTTACCCGATTTGAAATTGGTGAGATGTTCCTTGGGCTTGTTGGTCTAAGGACCCGAGGTCATAAGTGGATCTCCTCACGGAGTGAGGGTGAGGACAGGGGACTGGTCTCCTGAAGGAGTCCTCCTGTTCCGGGTCTTCAGCACCAAATGTCACTTGCGTCCATGTGAAGAGAGTCCACCAACAGGCTTTGTGTGAGCAACAAGGCTGTTTACTTCACCTGGGTGCAGGCAGACTGAGTCTGAAAAAGGAGTCAGCAAAAGGTGGTGGGATTATCATTAGTTGTTACAGGTTTCGGATAGGCGTACAAAGTACCTTTTCAAGGGCAGGGAGAATATTACGAAGTACCTTCTTAAGGGAGGGGGAGACTATATCGTATCAGTTAGGGTGGGGAAGGAACAAATCACAATGGTGGAATGTCATCAGTTAAGGCTATTTTCACTTCTTTTGTGGATCTTCAGTTGCTTCAGGCCATCTGGATGTATACATGCAGGTCACAGGGGATATGATGGCTTAGCTTGGGCTCAGATGCCTGACAAGAACAAGTAGACACAGAGTCAAAAAGGATATAAAAGACACATCAAACAACTTGTTCTAATAGGCATTTATAAAACTCTGTACCCAACAATAGCGGGATACATATTATAATCAAATGCATGTGAAACACTGATCAAGATTGATTGCATAAACAAAGTCTCTAAGAATAAATCAAAAGAAAAATTAAGAAGTATTTTGAACTGAATGAAAATTAAAACCTGACATACCAAAATTTATGACATTCCATGAAAGCAGTACTTTAGGAGGAATTTGTGGCACAAAACACCTATATTAGAAAATGAGAAAGGTCTCAAACCAATGGCTTCGGCTTCCATGTTAAGAAGCTGGAAGAGCTTAGAGGAGCAATTTAAGCTCAAAACAGAGAAAAGATAATAAAGATCAGACCAAAAATTAATGAGATAGACAACATATTAACATAAATTATAATAAAATCTAGTTGAGAAGATTAATAAAATAATAACTGTATATCCAAAGGATTGAGAAAAAAGAGGGAAATTATAAATCACTAATATCAGAAATGAGAGAAGTAAGATTGCTATCAGTTCTACAGGTATTAAAATGAGTGTAAAGGAATAGTATAAACAACTTTATGCAAACAAACTTGACAACCTATGTAGATAAATTTGTTTAAATACATAAATTACCAAAGATCACTCAAGAAGAAATCGACTGCCAGGATAATCCCATGCCTCTTAGAGAAATTGAATAATTGAACTTGCAGTTAAAAATCTCCCATGAATAGCTAGGTGCAGTGGCTCACACCTGTAATCCCAGCATTTTGGGAGGCTGAAGTGGGAGGATTGCTTGAATTCAGGAGTTCAAGCCCAGCCTGGGCAACAGCAACATAGTAACACCCGCATCTCTAGAAAAACTAAAAAGTTAGACAGGCATGCTGGTGTGTGCCTATAGTCTCAGCTACTCACGAGGCTGAAGTGGGAGGATCACTTGAGCCCGGAAGTTTGAGGCTGCAGTGAACTATGATCATACAACTGCATCTAGTCTAGGTGACAGGACAAGACTTTGCCTCAAAAACAAAAACAAAAACAAAACAAAACAAAGCCTTCCCTCTAGAAAACTCAAGACCTAGATAGCTTCTCTACAGAATTCTACAAAATATTTAAAGATGAAATAATATCAAATCTACACAAAGTTTTCCATACAATTGAAGAGGAGGGACCACTTGCTAACTCATTCTGTGAGTCCAGTATTTCCCTGTGCTATGGTTTGAATGCTTTTGTCCTTTCTTGATTTCGTGTTGAAACCTAATCCCCAATGCAACAGTATGGGGAGGTGAGGGCTTTTGGGAGGTATTTACATCATGAGAATTCTGCCCCAATGGATGGATTAATGCTCTTATAAAAGGGCTTGAAGGAGAGAGTTCACATCTTCTGTACATCTGCCTTCTGACATGTGAGAACACAGCATGTCTCCCCTCTGCAAGATGCAATATTCAAGGCACCATCATGGAAGCAGAAAGACTGTACCCTATCCTACTGGTGCCTTGACCTTGAACTTCCTACTCTCTAGGACTGTGGGAAATAAATTTCTGTTCTATATAAATTATATAGTCTCAGGTATATTCCTATAGCAACACAAAACAGACTAAGACATCCTGATATCAAAATCATGCAAAGACATTACTAGAAAAGAAAACTATAGAATGATATTCCTCATAAACATAGGTTTAAGGTTTTTAAACAAAATTCAGAAAATCAAATCCAGCAATATATAAGATAGAAAATGCATCATGGTGGCCAGGCCCAGTGGCTCATGCCTGTAATCCCAGCACTTTGGAAGGCCAATGCAAGTGGATCACCTGAGGTTGGGAGTTTGAGACCAGCCTAACCAACAAGGAGAAACCCCTTCTCTACTAAAAATACAAAATTAGTCGGAAGTGGTGGTGCATGCCTGTAATCCCTGTTACTCAGGAGGCTGAGGTGGGAGAATCGCTTGAACCCTGGAAGCAGAGGTTGTGGTGAGCCGAGATTGCACCATTACACTCCAGCCTGGGTGAGCAACAAGAGCGAAACTCCATCTCAAAAAGAAAAAAGAAAAAAGAAAAAAAGAAATAAAGAAAAAGAAAAAGAAAAAAGAAAATGCATCATGGCCAAGTGGAATTTTTCTTAGAATGCAAGGCTGGTTTAATATTAAAAAATCAATCAATGTAATTCTTGATATTGTAAAACCAAATGATCATTGCACTAGATGTAGTACAACTATTTCACAAAATTCAAGAGCCATTTCTGATAAAAGCTCTCAGCAAAGTAGGAATAGAAGTAAACTCTTTCATCTTGATAAAGGGCACCCACAATATATCAGCCACTAACATCATACTTACTGATGAAAGACTGAAGGCTTTTTGCCTTGAGATCAGGAACAAGGTAAAACCCAGCATCACCACTCCTATTTGACAATGTAGTGGAGGTTGTAACCAATGCAACAAAGCAAGAAAAAGAAATTAAGGGCATCCAGATTTAAAGGATTAAAGAAAGAAGTAAATCTGTCATTATTCACAGATATAGAATCTATTTTTAAAAGCTATACTTTTTACTGAAAAATGAGTTTAGCAAGTTTTCAGGACATATAATCAATACACAAAAATCAACTGCATCTCTACATATTGGGAATGAATAATTGGAAATTGCAATAGAAAGTCAATATCATTTGCAATAGCATAAGAAATATAAATTCATTAGTGATAAATCTGACAAAAGAAGTATAAGATATATACACTGAAAATTGTAAAAAAAAATTTGAGAGAAATTTAAAACTACTTAAGTAGACAGAGAGACACAGTGTTCATGGGTTGGAAGACCCATTATTATTAAGATGTTAATTCTTCATAAATTGACTTATAGATTCCAAATAATCTCAATTGAATCCCAGAAGTGTTTTGCAGTAATTGCCAAGTTGATTCTAAAATTCATATCAAAATGTAAAGAATAGCCAACACAGCTGTTGAAAAGATCAAAGTTGGGGAATGAATATTACCTGACTTCAAGACATAGGATAATGCTACAATAATTAAGAGAATGTGGTACTGGCATCAAGATAGACAAAGTGATCAATGGAACAAAACGGAGAATGCAGAAATAAATCCACCCATTAAGGACAACTTATTTTTGACAAAAATGTAAAGGCAATTCAGTGGATAAAGGATCATCTTTTTGATAAATGGTGCTGAAACAAAAACTGGATATCCATATTTTAAAAATTGATCCATATCTTGTCCCATACACAAAAAATGAATGGTCTGGCAAGTAATGAGCATTCCACAAAGGTTAGCTGTTACCCTTGGTGGTGCTTCTGTGGCTGCTGATGCCTGAGGCTGTTAGGTGGGTGATCCCACGTGATGTGCAAAGACGCCAGATGCAGAGCTGGGATCTCAGAGGAAACTTATAGGGGACAGATTTCAACTTTGGAGATGTGAGATCTGCCTGTCCTGGGAGCTGCCACTGGCCCACAGGTTTGGGAGCCAAGACCAGGTGAGGTCTGGGTGCAGACACCAAGGCAGGGATTTCTAAGGGCCGTTGGACTAAGCCTGAGGCCATTTACCAGTTATATGACCTTATTCAACCTGAGCCTCAGTTTCCTCATTTGCAAAATGGGGGTATAAATGTTTTTGCTGTCAGAAGTAAGTATTCTGCCTATATAGCAGGCAGAGAGTCTGGTATGCAATAAGCCCTGCAATATGAGCCTCTTTCTCCCACTAACATCCTTTAATTCACCAGGGAACGACCACCACAGAGCTGCTCAATTTGTCCAGTACATGGACCCGTGGCTCCTGGAGGTGGGAAGGGGCTGCCTCATCCATGGGCCCTGAATCGCCACATAGAGGAAGATGCCTCTGCTCCTCGATGTTGAAGGTGAGCGCAGGGCAGAGGGCTTAACATGGTCACTGAATAGGGTCCTCTGTCTGCCACCCAGGCCTTTGCAGTGTTGATAAATGCCTGTGTTGTCTTCTTCCCCTGCTCAGGGCTGTGGACTACCCTATGGCCTTTTACCTTCCAGGTTCTGGGGGGTTGGGGAGAGGGGTTAGGTTATGGCTCCTGCAGGCAGGGGAGGAAATGGAGGTGTGGATTCATAAGTGACTTCCCTAGGGCCACTCAGCAAATCAGTGGTCAGTGGGGCTCCTGGTTCCTCCCAGGGTTCCAGGGCATGTTGTTCTGGGGTGGGGAGGGGACTCCCAGCTGAGCTATCCTCCTGCTGTGGCAGGAGGTCCTGATCCTAAGGCCCTTCACTCAAGGCTGAATGGGGCTCTTTTGTTCTGGTCGTCCCTTAGAAGCTGCCCTAAAGAATCCCCTGGATCCCATTTTACCTGTTCCAGGTACAGACCCCTGGAGTGGTCTCCTCTAAAAGGGTCCCATCTCCACTTGCATCAGGGAGAGCCCTGGACCCTGCCCCTCCCAGAAATAGACTGGACTTGGTTCTGGAGTTGTTTTGCTCACAACCGTCTAGTACAAACCTCCTCTCCCCACCCCTGCCAAACCTCAGGTCATTTCTCAGATGGGAAACTGGAGCTGGCCCAGCCACTCACTCACTCCTGGTTTGTTCTGTCTCTGATTCCTGAGCAATGGGATGAAGCATGAGGTTGAAGGTGAGAGGGCTGTGTTATCTCAGGAAGGCCTCTCCAAGGAGTTGATATTTGAGCTGAGATGGTCATAAACTCTCAGGATGGACCGGTGGGTCTTAGAGCTAGATTCTGTGGTCCAGGGATCACCGGGAATATTTTAAAGGGCAGGAGGTGTTCCAGTGTAAGCACAAAACAGAGCAAGCATGACACCAAAGAATCCGGTGGTCGGCCTCCATGCTGAGGGGTGGTCAGGAGTGGCAGGACTGTGGCTACCTGGAGCATGCATGCCCTCCGGCAGCAGGCAAAAGCTGCCTCACTCAGCCAACTGCCCAGGTCAGAGTGCAAGCCCCAAGAGGCCAGCCTCCCGATGCTGCCAAGAGACAGAGGTCTGACTTTTTAGGCAATATATCCCCATTTGTAAACTTTGGAAGTCCACCCAATTTTGAAAAAAAATACTTTATGCAGAAAAAAAAACCATATGCACAGGTGGATCCATTCTGCAGCCATCAGTTTGCCACCTCTGACTTAGTCTAATG